CGGAAGGCTCCTTGTCGTAGTGAAAATCATAAAACATCATCGAGGTGAGGCAAGATGAGCTCATCGGGGACAGCGGGGTCGGAATGAGGAGGGGACAGTAGAAGTCACGAGATCCCCTAGGTGCCAGAGATGCGTCCAAGCAAACTGCAGAGTCCAATGACAAGCTGGCGAAAACAAAAGAGTCCGCGACGATTATCAACAGAACTCTCGAAGGCCACCGTCAGGGTTACAAAACGGATAAGAGTTGGCAGCATCTCGAAATGATGCTTGACTCTGCAGAGGGAAATGTAAACATATTTCAAAACTACTTTAGTATCTTTGGAAGAGCCTCAACTACCAGGAGGACCTCTTTTAAAGGCCAGCCGTTGCTTGTTTGGGAGGGAACAGACTGTAAGGTCCTTATTTCTTCTTAATTCAAATGTTTACGCATTTTGCATTTGAAAATTGGTAATGAAGACGCCAACCTAATCTCGAGTAGAAGATTATTCCACCTGAAAGGGGTGGTGAAAATATCATGGAAGAGTTACAAGCGGCGTAAAGTTGGTCTACCGGAGTAGAAAACGTTGATTTGTGGTAGATAAGGGCCATTTTTAACGCGAAACCGGGAGCATATACCTGTTTCGAGTCTCCTTACCCAGAGAAATTGAGTGTTCGCTAACTGATATCTATCCATGTAGGGATCCAGAACGAGACAATAATTTTCGAGTGGAAACGCTCCGAAACTTTAAATCTTAATGCAGTCAGACGCTCTCATAAGGCTAAAAGTACAACACTACAGCCAAAACTTTAATTTGCTGATCAATAAAATCAGTTTGCGCATTGACAAAGGACAAACGGCCCAGCTGTCCGAAATATCAACGAAGAAATAAACTCATTCCAGTGAGCGCAACAAGGTATTTGATTCTTATATATATATGTGTTTATTATGCCAGTTTACAGGCAATTTTAAAGAGTTGGTAAAGCACCTCTTGACGCCTTCCAAAGCCTCGAAGACAGGAAAAAACCTAAAACCGGAATTCTGACTTTTGCGAACTTATTGCAGTGCACCGTTAGCTTTATCTCCGGAAGGAAGAAATTATGTAATATAAAATCACATATCTATGCAGCCTTTGCCGAAATTTGATCTGCATAAGGCAATAATGCCAGTCTTATCGTTTAACTTAGGCCTAAGTCCCTTATGGTAGATACTTCTAAAAGTGGACCATTTTGGAAGATGATGGGTCCAGGAAGCTTAGCGGGACCAAGACACATGAAAGTACACTTGGATGGAGAAAGTTCTTTCTGTTATATATTGCTCCAACGTTAGAACGTACATAAGACTGCGTTCATTTTATTAACGCAAACATTGTCCGTGTCCTTAGACAATGAGTGCATGCACTTACAGTCATCTGTGTATGTTAATTTTTCAAAATTATCGAGCTCTGTTGAAATTTCATTTAAATACGGAATGCAGGGGAGGGGCCCAAAACCGTGCCTTGAAAAACGCCGCTCATGATCGGCTGAGGCATCGAGTAGCCATTACATAGCAAGACTTTTTTGTCGCGATTAACACGTTGGAACAAGAATAAATAGCTCTGCAACGTATGCATGATTTGACAGCATCTATCTGTATATAGGGTTTTTAAAGGCCGTGTCTAGCTGCCTTATACATACTGAATTTTTCTGAATATAAAGTGAATGTATGTATGTTTTGTGAAAGTTAACACATATATAAATAGGCCATTTTATAGTTGTTATGAAAGGCCTGATTGAAAATTTATTTTGGTGCTGTCTTGTCTAACCTTAACGAAGACGATAACCAGTGTTGCGATAAGTAAAAAATATATTACTTATCGCAAGGTAAATTACGCTCATATGCGTCCACTTTAATTAAATAAACCTGATTTAACTTAATGGTAAACATGAGAGTCTCTTAAATCTGCTTCTGCGGTAACAATTTCTCAAGAATATGCGTGCGTCTGCTGCTCCGATCGCGTCGTGGGAAGGTGGATGGGGCGGGAGTGGGGGCGAGTTAGCAGCGCTGATTCAGTCCACTAGACACTGCGAACGATTTTGAGAAGGCCCCACTGTCTGTGACATGTACCATCATCTCACTTTATTTTGAAGGTGTACAGTGTACATGAATCATTCAGAACATTTGAGTTTATAGATGTTCTTCCAGGGTTGATCGAAGGCTTTTGTCAAGTCCACAAGGTTAGTGTACAGGAGGGCCCAGATTTCCTGGCATTTATCTTGTGACTCGTGTGCAACAAAGAGCCGGCTGGTGGTGCCATGGTGTTGCCGGAAACCATTGATGAGATGGCCATTGAGATGGTTGGAGTAGAGGCGAGCCAAGATCTTCTTGGTGATGTTGAGAAGCGATACATCCCTGTAATTAGCACAAATTTATCGGCTTCATTTGCGTTTGCACAGATAGACGCTTGTGGCACCGTTGAAATCCCGATGGACCTGTCCTTGGCCTAGTACCCTCCGAATAGTGTTTGTACATGAATCACTACAATCATCAGGTCAAATACCAAGTTGTAGGTTAAAGACAGGAGGCGCCAGAGTGAGGAATTTGTTGTGCACAGAAGCCTTCGTTGCTGCCTCAGACAGCAGTGGTCACTAGTGAAGCTAAAGGCTAGTATTGACTATGTCCAGCCGTACCTGACAGCGCGTGAGGGAGAGGTGGCAGGTACTTTTATGGATTGTAGAGCAAGTTCAAGTGGTGTATGATTTTCGTGTTTAATTGCCCAAGGAGTTGTCGTATATCGTGGCCCCTGCTGCATCGGCCGAGGGGGGGGGATGTTCAAGTGGCCCTTTGGCACGCACGAGAATATGGACACATGTGTGTGCGCGCGGGGAAGTCAGCTGGTTGGGAAAAAATACTGCCTGTGGAGTTGTGTGTTTTTTGAGGAAGCGGAAATTGAGCAAGGAAGTCAGACAACATGTTTTGCTGCTTGCCACGGCATCACATCTCATAGAAGAGTACTGTGAGGTGTCCAGTCCTTTGGCGGTAACCGTGCTTTTGTAGGAATCTGTCACTCAGAGCCATTGCGCTAACTCATGCTGCCTGTCGTGCGCTGAGCTTCGCTCGCTGCTCGCTTTTGCCCTTTTGCACGCTTGATGTCAACTCACCGCGTTTACGCTTGTAGCTAA